CTGCCTATAACTCTACAACAATACAATCAGGTATAATAATTATGATTATTAAAAAAACTTTAACATTATTATACACAATAATACAGACTATGAAGTCTATTCTATTCTATTACAAGCTCAAACTTTTCCTGAAGGAATTCCTTTAGTAACAAATCATGATATCATATACTTACTGAGAACACTCTTAGCCATTCCATGACCTCCTGGTCAGTTTCTTGGAGTTGCTTCCTAATCTCCTGACGTCTTATCTCAGACTTAGCTAATGAATGAAGCATCCTCTTCTGCTGCTGATTGTATTCATGCTATAGAACAAGATTAAAGAAGATACACACACAATTAAAGTACATTGTATATGGTATAAGGTAGTGAAGAAATGGAAGATAATTTCATCACAAACTTACCTTACAACAACTTTCAGTTCATTTTGTGCTTTCACTAATTCTTTAACAACCTCATCTTCATCATCAGAACTGTCCCTCTGTGACTGAGAAAAGAAAATCAGCTATGTACATGTACATTAATTATGTCAAAATATGTACATACAGTGCTTTATGAGTACAAAATTTGATAATTTAGAAAATTAGAAGTGGTTGCTTACTTCAGGAGGGTCCAGTAGTCCTAGTGTTACCAGTTCATCTTTTAATCTTCTCTCAAGAGCAGCTGGTGAAATAACTGTTGAAGAGAAAGAGTCGGCTTTCCCGGAAGAAAATAACTGAGAACCATGAGGAGAATCAATGAACGTCTGAAAACAAAATAATAATAATAATAATAATAATAAATAATAATAATAATAATAGAAAATAATGACAGTAAGATTATAATAAAAGGTGACATACTGCCATTAGTTTCTGGGTGAGTGGTCCATAGCTAGTGCATGTATTGGATCTATGAGCAGTCATTCCTTCATTGAATAAAATATCTAAAAACAATACAAAATTAATACTCTTAGAGTACATAATAACATATAGCGGGAAATTTGGAGGGAGTTAAATTTGGCCAATTGCTAAATTTTAGTGATTGGTGAATTTTAATTTGGCCACGTGCCATTGAGCATGCGTATAATGGCTCAAAATGGTGGGTGGCTATCAAAATGCCAAATTCGCCAAATTTTATTTCCTCCACAATTTCCCACTATACGGTGCCCTCTCTCTCCCTCACTGGTTTCATCTTGTAGGTCTTTAGTTTGTCCAGAGTGGAGTCTAGCAGTCTCTGTTCCTTCTTCATTCAGCTCCTCCATCAGCCACTGCTGACTGTAGTGCTGCCCTTGACTGGGTATCTCAAATAAACTCTTGTCAAAATTCTAAACATAAAATTAAATAAACTAAAAATGAAAATTAATTATTGAATCAAAAACAATAGCCACTGTTGTATATATGTATGTGGTACATGTATTATGATTAGTAATGCTGGTATTCTTTAATGATGTGATAGTTTTATTATTAATAATTTCTTACATTATCTTGTGCTTGAAGATTATGCAAATCATTCTCCGTTATGTCAGCAAAGTATGGTTCCAGTGAAGCCCAAAATTTATCGGCCCCCTCAGTTTTAGACCTAAAAACAGACATTTTCAATAAGACCATTATTATCACTATTAACTTAGTTACATACAATTTATGCTGGAATACATTGTATGTACGTAGTTAAAGACCATTATAAATACATGTACACATTACTACACAATGTATTATGATGAATTAAGAGGATTTAGTTACAATACATACAATAGTACATATCATCCTTCACTTACTTTGTTAAAGCACTTGTTATTTGGTTCTGATCCTTTTCTGGTATAACAGTCTTACCACTTCCCCTGCTCTTACCCTTCCCTTTCTTATGCTCATCTACTCCTCCTCCTCCTCCTCCACCACCACCTCCTCCTCCTCTGTGACTGGCTTTAGTTCTCTTACTAGTCGATGAAGATGATAGTTGTTCTAAAGGTGATTTCTGTGAAGCTCCTGATTGTGATTTTGATGTACCACGAGTGTTGCCAGGAGCTGTGCTTGAGAAAGGAGCTATGCTACCACTCTCTGTATCACTGTGCTTCCTCCTGTACATGAATGGATAATAATAATAATAACAATGATGGGCAAGGAAGCTACATGTTTTGTGAAGAGAATTGGAGACGGACTGTCATCAAAATGGAATAAACCTTATAGTGAAGTGGTATGCTGGTTAAGAACTAGACTGTCATTTGCTATTATTAGAGCATCCATATTATGCCTACATGGAGCTCATTCCAAGTGGCGATCCATTAATACACCTGATGGAGCCACACTTGACTACATGCTACATTAATTACATTATTATTATTTAGATTAATTTGTCATTTGTATCTTTTTCTTTTTTTCTTGACTCATTTCTAATTCCCTAATCTGTCCTGCTCTAACATAACCTAATTTATTCTAACCTGTCCTTATTTTATAATAACAATGATGATAATAATAATAATAATAATAATAATAATAATAATAATAAAATGTGACCATA